CATAAACGTACTCATGATTTAGCAAAAGTGAGAGCCTATTTCCCCCAATAACTTTAAATAAAAGGGCATTTTCCCAAACCAAAGCCCTCCTTATTATTAATCCACTCAGTCTGATGAAAATAACCTGTCCAGATGTACGCTAAATTACCCGGTTAAATTTCGACCTGAAATTTGCTTACTGGATTCGCAGAACTGTATGTAGAAGGTTGGACCAATTAGATGGTGGCCACAAGTAAGACACGACTTCGTTGGCTGGCGTGTTAGTCTTTCGCTTGGCTGGCAGCTGGGCGCAGCGTAACACAACGCACTTGAGTGGGCGGACCGACGGTCTCGCGTGGAAACGCCTCGTCGGATCGGCGTGCACTTGCACTTAAGCTGGGCCCTAACAGAAACTCACCATCTTCTCCATACTGACTGTCTTCATACCCACTATCGTCCAATTTGAAGAATCCCTTGCTGGGCAATAAAGTTGAATTGGTCAACACTAGCTTGCGCTTTTGAAGTCCTAAGCCTTGGTTAAGGAGCATAAAGTTGGCATTCGAAAAGAAATAACGGGTACATAGCAGACTGAAAACCCGCTCACGGGTCAGTTTCTGAAAATGCCGTGAAATAGAACCAAGCATACTCTCAACTTAACCATCATAGTAGATGCTTGGCGAGACAACGATGACGAGCGCAACACCAGACTCTCCTCTGAAACTCACGATGTTTCGATTGTACGCGCATGTGGTGACTGACAAAGCCAAACCAATGCCTGGGTGGGTCACATGCTGTTTCGCACACCCAAGAACTGGATTTTAATGTGAGACCTAGCCTGGAGTCTGTAGAAAAACCTAGATATTCCGCCGGCTTATAAACATGGCTTCTAGAGTGTCGCGATAGTTTAACAGCGTATCAAATAGTGGAGTATGTACTGCCCGTGATCAGCCTCTCTCTCTCTCCTATCCCATACACCAGCGGCCACACAGCAGACGCGTCTTCTTCGTCGCGTCCCCACCCGCCTCATTGCGGCCAAGGTCTGTTACACCAACCTCCCTACTT